GAGTGATTGATGGTTGCGATTGTTCTCCAGTGACTCCCTCCGGTATATGTCTTATTATCTCTATTTCACTCCAAGGGTCTAGCGCTTCAAAGAATATGGCAAAGGAAAAGAGCTTCGGACTTCAGATTTCCTTCTTCTATAGCTCCGGACTGTCACACAGGCGAAGAACTTTCGTGACTTCCTAAGTTACTTCACCAAGCATTGGAGTTCTTTCATTGAGCTCTAGAATCTTTATCTCTTTGTGTTGTGTTTAGATTACTTATGGAAGCCGTAGGAGGCACCTCAGCTCCGCTAAGTTGAGCGCTTGTGGGTCTATGTGTGGTGCCTTATCACAACAAAAAGTAGCATCTAGGCGCTAGCCTTTTTGTATGGCGCCTGTGAGGCGCTCATAATGGTGCCTTGGAGGCACTCTTAAGTGGCTCCTTGGTGCTACTCTCTCAGTAGGATAATGACGTGGGAATGAATGGAAGATGAATAGACACTAATTGGGTGGTGCAAAAGTGCCAGTAGGCTAAGTCTCAAATTTAGTTCTTTTGCTCATTTCAAGGCCCGTAATCTGCAATTAACAAATTAAATACCTAAAAAGCATAAATATAATGCAAATAACTAGATAAAATGCAGGGAAATATAATAAAATATGTCACACATTTTGGACGCATCAATTAATTAGGAAGATAAGTATCAATTCACAACATCTTTTCTATAAATCGATCTCCTATAGTGCAACAAATGACCAAACTTAAAACTCAATATCTAATTTTCCACTCTTTTGAGTATAACAATCACTCACTCATTCTTTCTCGAAAGTGTTATCACAAATTCTCACATTCTTCTAAGGACCCCTTGGTCAAAGAGTGATTGATGGTTGCAATAGTTCTCTACTGACTCCCTCCAGTATATATCTTATTATCTTTATTTTACTCCAAGGGTTTAATGCTTCAAAGAATATGGTGAAGGAAAAGAACTTCTGACTTTAGATTTCCATCTTCTATAGCCCTGGACTGTCACATAGATAGAAAACTTTCGTGACTTTCTAAGTTACTTCACCAAGCATTGGAGTTCTTGCATTGAGCTCCAGAGTCTTTCTCTATTTGTGTTGTGTTTACATTGCTCATGGATCCCATAGGTGGCACCTTAGCTCTGCTAAGCGAACACTTCTGGGTTTATGTGCAGTGCCTTAGCAAAACAAAAAGTGGCATCTAGGCGCTAGCCTTTTTGTATGGCGCTTGTGAGGCTCTCTTAAATGGCGCCTGGGAGGTGCTCTTAAGTGGGGCTTTGGTGCTAGTCTCTCAGTATGATAATGACATGGGAGACGAATAGGCGCCAATTGGGTGGTGTCAACCATTAAGCTCTAGAGTCTTTATCTCTTTGTATTGTGTTTACATTACTTATGGAAGTCGTAAGAGGCACCTCAACTCCGCTAGGTTGAGCGCTTATGGGTCTATGTGTGGTGCCTTATCACAACAAAAAGTAGCATCTTGGCGCTAGCCTTTTTTGTATGGTGCCTGTGAGGGGCTCATAATGGTGCCTTGGAGGCACTCTTAAGTGGCGCCTTGGTGCTACTCTCTTAGTAGAATAATTGTGTGGGAATGAATGGAAAATGAATAAACACTAATTGGGTGATGCAAAAGTACCAGAGGCTATGTCTCAAATTTAGTTCTTTTGCTCATTTCAAGACCCGTAACCTGCAATTAACAAATTAAATACCTAAAAAGCATAAATATAATGCAAATAGCTAGATAAAATGCAGGGAAATATAATAAAATATGTCACACATTTTGGACGCATCAATTAATTAGGAAGATAAGTATCAATTCACAACATCTTTTCTATAAATCGGTCTCCTATAGTGCAACGAATGATCAAACTTAAAACTCAATATCTAATTTTCCACCCATTTGAGTATAACAATCACTCACTTATTCTTTCTCGAAAGATTCATCACAAATTCTCACCTTCTTCTAAGGACCCCTTAGACAAAGAGTGATTGATGGTTGCAATAGTTCTCCACTGACTCCCTCCAGTATATATCTTATTATCTTTATTTTACTCCAAGGGTCAAACGCTTCAAAGAATATGGTGAAGGAAAATAACTCTTGACTTTAGATTTCCATCTTCTATAGCCCTAGACTGTCACACATATAGAAAACTTTTGCGACTTCCTAAGTTACTTCACCAAGCATTGAAGTTCTTCCATTGAGCTCCAGAGTATTTCTCTATGTGTGTTGTGTTTACATTGCTCATGGAACCCGTAGGTGGCACCTTAGCTCCGCTAAGCGAACACTTCTGGGTTTATGTGCGGTGCCTTAGCAAAACAAAAAGTGGCACCTAGGCGCTAGCCTTTTTGTATGGCGCTTGTGAGGCTCTCTTAAATGGCGTCTGGGAGGTGCTCTTAAGTGGCGCTTTCGTGCTACTCTCTCAGTATGATAATGGCATGATAATGGATGGGAGACGAATAGGCGCCAATTGGGTGGTGTCAAGGGGCTAGTAGGTTAAGTCTCAAATTTAGTTCTTTTGCTCGTTTCAAGACCCGTAACCTGCAATTAACATATTAAATACCTAAAAACTATTAATATGATACAAATAGTTGCACTATAGGAATTCATGAATAGTCGGCTCTAGTCAGGATTTATGCTTGTTATCAGAAAAAGCCCGACCGCAATTAGAAAGCAGCCACCACACCTAGTTATGATTGATGAGAAAACACAGATTTTAGCGACTGCAGTTTATAGATAAAACTACGGTGCGGTATCGCACCACCACCGCACTGCCGCCCCAAACAGACCCTAAATCAAAGGGAGAAATTTAAGACTCAAATGTTAAACTTATTAGAATGGTGTAACATATATTAAATTTATTTTACTATGATTTAAATACTATACTACTAATGTAATAATGATACTCTAACAATTATATATACAATATTTTAAATCAGAATACTTTCAATTGAATATTTTGGATATGATTCTAAATTAAAAATTTTATGATATGATATTTTTATTACTTTTCTATATATGTTTATTCACTTACATAAATGCCTGCAAAAAGAGTATATGTTTATTCACTTACATAAATGCCTGCAAAAATATCAAATGTAATATCATTTTTATAAATTTGTACAAATTGGGTGGCTTGCATGTAAATGGCCCAAAATAAATTGGACAAACGAACTTCTTAACTCCCAACTAATAAAGACAGAGTCGTCCGTCAATCATTTCCTTGTAAAATACCGTCCTCTATTTTATTTCGAGTAATACAACTAATTACACCCAAACCATCGGTCATCTTCCTCTTCATTTCGTCCTAACCTTCGCCATTGATAATCCGACAAACCTGAAACCACCTAGCAACCGACGGCGTTTGGCTGTCTTTTGATGCTCTGGCCTGAACACCAGCTCTCCTGCTTCGGCTTCTCTTCGTTCGCTTTCATTCTTCGATAGGAAGGATTAGGGCTACGTCTAGGGTATCTTCTCTCGTAATTTTTTATAGGGGAGTTCTGGCATCAATGGCGTCTTCGACGGAGGGTTTGGTGCCGATCACGAGGGCTTCTCTTGCTCGATACTACGACAAGTACCCTGCGCCTGCTATCTCTGAAGACGTTAACCGCTTGACCGCGGAGCTACGGAGTCTCTCCTTCAATCTCTTGGAAGACTTACCCCTGGCCCCTGGTTAGTTTTCTCTTTGCATCGATCATTTCTTCACCGTGTTCCAGGGATCTGGTCCGAAGTGAACTGAGTATTCTTTTTACTGGGGTTGGCATAGTGTTGTCTGCAATTGGGATTTAGGGGTGGGTGATTGTGTTGGAACTAATTATATTCTTAGCTGCTTTCAGTCAATCTATTTTGTATGCCACTGTGTTTTAGTAGCAAATGTTCCATGAATCATAAAACATGGAAGCAGTCCTAGATTTTTTTCCTGTTAATTTGATGTGATGAAATGCTCGCTCTTACTTGATTGGGGATAAGGCGGTTTTTTCAGGAACTATACTGGGGTAGATTTAAGTGGTTTTTGGTAGCCTATTTTAAGGCGGATTTATGTGTGGATAGGTGGTTTTGTCAGGAAGTATACAGGGGCAGCTCTATTAAATCCTGTTGTTCGTCTAAATCTGAAAATTTCTTTGGCATTACATAAATCCCGGATTTACTAAGGGAGTGTTTGGCTGCCTCTTGGATTTAACTTAAGTAGTATTTACTAAATCCGGATTTATTAAATCCAATTAAATCCAAATTTTGCATTTGGTATTATTTCCCTTAAATCTAGTTAAATCTATAACTAGTGTTTGACATTTGCTTTCAGGATTTAACACAGATGATTTGAAAATTTGAACGTTGGAAGAAGATATGTACAAAACAACAAAATTTACACTTTCTTATAGGGAGAAACAACAGTCTTTGCATTATACAAAAGCACATGGATGCTAACTTCAATAAGGAACTTCAACCAAAAAAGATGATAACGGTAATATGGAATGAACAGCAGCTACTGCAGCAAATCTCAGTACAACGAGAATGGAAAATGCATGAAGTTCAGCATATTTCAACACAACATGCTTAAGCTTCTAGGAAAGTAAAAGATAGAATAGCCGAAACAATATATATGCATTACCAAATATTTCTTTAACACATATCCAACATTTAGTACAGGTATTAGTAGAAATTTAATAAGAAAATGCAATGCCATAAAACAAAAATTGCAATGGAAGAATTTTGATAAATAATTAGCAGGTAGAAGCAATATTACAATAAATAAAAGTTTAGAAATTCAATAACAATAGTCTATAATTGAGGAAGAGGAATGTGAGATAGGAAAAATATGTTGAGAAGTACAATAGCAGCATATCCCCTCCAATAGTTTTATCCTCCTTCCCTATGGAGATTATGACCACAATCTTATAGATTCAAACCCACAATCAAACCTGATGCTAGTTGCATAAAAGAAAGCTAAAAGAAAAACTGAACAGAAAATGACCATTGTGCAGATCATGAAGGCTAAGAAAGAATGGGACCTATTTTTCACTATAAGTTTGATTGTGCGCGTATTAAAAATGCAGGTGTTAGATATGTAAATACGAATAAATTGAGTGATGTGTACGTAAATGCCCATTTTAAAAAACATCACAATGACAATCACATCTTATTCATTTATAGAAGTCATATTTTACACATCATATTCATCTATAACATTGATGAAAATACAAATTGAAATAATAAAGACGAACAATAACAAACATTAGATCTTAATATAGAAATAAACAAAAAATGCATAAATTGATGACAACTTCTTTTATGTTTGATATGAGACTATCTCTTCAACTTAATTAACACCTTTGATTCATTGCCTAGAAGTACACAATTTTTTTTTTTAAAATGTAATCTTTTAAATCAAAGATAATCAAAATAAGAATAGAAGAGCTTACATGTGCTTCCGATAAATTGACTGCGATCACATTATACGACATCTCCTCTATGTTTCCCACAAATTGTGGCATGTATATTTGGGTCTTCATCATTAATGGAAATCTCACATGCCTGATTATCATGAAATTTCAGTTTGAGACATATTAAGATATATATCATTTCTGTGATAACGTCCAACGAAATTGTACAAAACTGCATTGGCCATTACTATGTTAGCTTGTACTTCAATTCGAAACGTTTACATGCAACTAAGAGCTATCAAATATTCTTTCCACAACATTTCGAAGTTCTTGATGACGATGATTATATAAATCCTGTGTTGTTGAGTATGTACGGGTTGTGTTTGCATAGTAATCACTTATATGATAACAATATCCTCTGAAGGGTGATAAGAACTTATCCGTATTTGCATAACATGATTAAACCAAATAAAATTTATTTTTGAGTACCTTAAAGTTACATTCTTCTATTGCTTAACATAATACTCTCATATCAGCGACTGACCATTTTCAATCAGCACTAATATATGAAAATTATTAATAAAAAGAAATTACTACCATCATATTTTGTGACATAAATCCCTTTCTGTTACGATACCTATTTTGTGCATCTTTGTTGACCATTGAGGGAACAAAAATTCCATAAATTGCTTCGATTATATTTTTAAAATATGAAAATAATTATGTCTTTTGGCAAATAAAAGAGTCACAATGCAACTAACATGATGACAACTTAATTAACTCATTTCATAATGATTTAATCGCTTACACTACTCCGCTAGGAAAAATACCTAAACACTTTGTAATATTCATATTTTTTGTCACGTAGTAATCGTCGAGTATTTAATAAGTCTCTCAATTGTATAAAAGCTTCATGTCGGAGCCTAAAATAATAATATGATTTTGTTGGATGACCGGTTAACACATCTACGATACTGACGGTCTGAGTAGGACATGCCAAATATAAGCCTACAAATGCACTCATCCTCATCCAAAGAGCTATTTTCCACCGTAACAAAAGATATCAACTCTGTTATAGTATTAGTGAATTGTATATGTGTGTTAATGATCTGAGAATTCTCTTCTTGAAAAATACCACTAAAAATTTCAACATTGCTGCATTTTTTAATAAAATCATATTATAAAGAAATAATTTGGCACAATAAATATTCAATAAAATAAATGTCTAATTTAGAAGTTAGGAAATTGTTTTAAAGATGTAAGAAATACATAAATAAATAAGGAAAATATAATGACTGAAACATAAATCACTACTGCAATAGTATAATCAAAACCAAAGTAATACGAAATCTATCATATCCAAGCTGACTGTGTGTACAATCATTGATGAGACTCAAGTATAAAATCTATCCAATTGTGTAGCAAAAAGCCATTCGATCTTATGAGAAAGCTTTTGCTGCCATTGTCTTTCACTAATGCATCATGAATGACAATTATAACTACATTAGAAATGTTTGAAATGTTTTCAAACTTCGTCAAATATTCATCTATTGTATAAGAGCATTGATGTTCCAAAGTATGGTTGAACACCTGCATATTTTTATTTATTGCCTTTAACAATGTTTTCATTTTTATCAAATATTTGGTTTTCTTTTACTCTTTTATTTTTGGAGACGACCTCTTATAGTTGTTTGTTTGCTATCATTCGGTTGAGTGACTAATGACTGTATGTTTACATCTTCGTTCATTTGAACATCCGGTGCTTGAGCAGACACAATTCTCTTATCAATGAAGACTACTCTCTTCATGGACATAAAACCATCAGTAGGTTTAGCATTTCCTCTTCCTCCAGCTGATCTAGGCAGGACTTATGGTTTGAACGTATGACTTCAATACATGTTGCTATATTATCCCCACAAATCGTTTCAAAAATTTCATATTAGTGGAAATGATTTCTTTGAAACCATGCCAATTTTGAGTTTTCCTATAAAAAATTGTTAAGAATTACAATCTCATATGATTTTGATTAATTATGTAAAAATAATTAATGTGGTTAATTATCTTTATGATCTCATCACAAATTTCATCAGTTGTTACCGGAATATCAAGATTTTCATTCCAACCCCATCCACTATGATTCAAGAGCTAATGCAATGTCCTAAATCAGTTTCATATTTTTGAAATGTTTAATCACCACTACCTCTATATAAGCGGTACCTAAACGCCTGTTTAGTTCCTTGACTACTACAACCAATTTTTCTTCTGCAATCTACCATCTAACATATTTTTAGATTCAAATTGTTTGATAAGTAATTCAGTAGGAGTATTATTTTGTTTTTTTGTTATTTTGGAGTTCTGATTGCAATCTTCATCTTTCCAGTATGGGTTGAAATACTTCCATCATGTGAAGACTTTGAAATTGACCAATTACGTTGAAATAAATTTCTTGTCACAATTCTCTTCATTACTATAAGACAATCAAAATTGACAGTATTAAATTCATATAAAAATTCGAAGTTTGGTGAATTTGAATGATAGCTTCGTGAAGAAATAATATCAATTTTAAATTTATTTTCTGTTATTTGAAAAATATATTTGACACTCTATATGTAGATGATATTCGATGATTCATGAGCACTTAAATTATCATTTCTCATTTGCTCGATATTTGTTATTTTAGGAGCAATCTTAATGTTATCTTTAACAGTTGCAGTTTGATTTTCATTGCTCCCAACTTCTCCAGAGTTATTCATATTTAATTAGCCCTATTTTCAAAATCATATCACTTTAATGTTAAGTATATATGAACATGTAGTTTTCTTAGGAGCTTATGTGGGATTGATAATGTTTACTCTACGAATTCTACTAACAACGATCATGAACGATAAAACAATGCTATACATTTTAAATATTGCAGCATGTAATAATAAAATATAAGCATGACGTAAAAAATACTGCCATTTTAAATTTTAAAAAGTGAAATACGCCTTTTCATGCATAGATAAGGTAGTATGTATGTAAAGTTTAAGCGTTAGATAGGTAAATACATAGAAATTTAGAGGTTTGTATGCAAATACACTTTTTTGGTCATGATTATAAAAACCCAAGCAGAAAAAAGAGGCAAAATAAAAAAAGAAAAAAAAAAAAGAAAAAAATCTCCACCATCAGACAGGAAGAACTCAGAATTAAAATGCCCAATAAGAACTAAAGGATTTGAATTTTGAAAACGACATATCTTCGAAGAAATTGAATTTTGAAATTGACCTAAAAAAGCCAAATGAAAACCAAACCTCACAAACTTTTGGGGCCAATAAAGAGATAAAAAAAGGAAAATTGAACCAACATCAATTAAAGAAAAGCTTAATTGTTAGACTTTGATTTGTGAAAATGCGATTAAAAAACAATTATGGATAGCTAAAGTGATGCAACACAGATGAATGCAAGGGAATTTATTTGCTTTTTTAACATAAGTGAATTTGGTAACTTTCTTATGTGTTCTCACGCAGCGGTGGCAAGAAGCTTCACAACTTGGGAATCACCATTGGAGTCGAAACACAAGAACAATAAAGGATTAACATCACTAAGAGAAAAATAGGGAAGAAGGCTAATCTTTGGCTACAATCGACGAGGGTGGCGGCGACGTCTGATGCCGAGGGAGGAGACGTGCGACGAGTGACAGAGCAAGTGTATCCCTTCAATCATCTCTTCTCCTCTGCGATTACCATGAAAAATAATTATTATCATTTATTTTCTTAATAAATAGAAATTATTAATTTTCTCTTCAAGCTCACGCTGATATATTTCTATTACATAGCTCAATATTTAAAATGTATATAGTGTTGCTTTATTGTTCGTGATGGTTGTTTATATAATTCATAGGATATACCTTATCAATCAATGTAAGCTTTAAGAGACTTATATGTTTATGTTTATTTAACATTAAAGTTGTGATTTTGAAAATATGACTAATTGAATATGGATAACTCTGGAGAAGTTGGGAGCATTGAAAATCGAACTACAACTGTTAAATATAACATTAAAATTACTTTTAAAGAATATATATCGAGCAAATAAAAATGATAATTTATATGCTCATGAATCATCGAATATCATCTACATACAGAGTGTCAAATACGCTTCTCAAAGAAGAAATTTTGTGTGGAGGTAGGGTTGGGTATTGGTGGATGCTAGAAAGCATAAGATAGAGTTAGAGATAAACTATCTTTGATACGAAATGATACCAGAGTTAACCTATACCACAATAAGAAATCAAATATTATTACCTGAAAAAGCCATATAGGCAATTACAACCAAACAAATATTGAAATGTGAAATACAACACAACACAAACTTATAATGGAGGTTAGCTAGGTGCTCTAGGAGTGGTGGTAGGTGGTTGTAATGGCCTGTGGGGTTACTGGAAATGGCAAAGGAGGGGATGAAACTGCGATGGCAGCGAGGCGGAAGGCCTGGAATAGCAACAACGAAGCAGGGGGTTGGGACAGTGTGGGGCAACAAAGAGGAAGGGTTGTGGACTGCAGGACAACAAGAGGTGTGCTGTCCTGTGCGGGCGCAGTGAGGAAGAAGGCGGCTTAGTGGTGCTGGCAGCAAGGGTTGGGGGAAGTAGGGTTTCCAGGAAGATGACCACAAGTCGGGAGGGAGGAGTGTGGAGGATGGGAAAGTCGAGATTAAATATCACCTCGAGAGCGAGATATAACCGAAGCACCACTTGACCCTCAGAGGAGAATCACCACCTCAGAATGAGATACAATTGGAATAGTACTTGGATATAAACCTAGAAGGGAAAACATGGAGACACTGATGGCTGTCCCAACAGAAAATTTATGAAAATTGACCTAAAACAACACGAAAACAAAAGCATATATAGACTGGGTTAACTAAGGAGTGGTCCCCACTTCTCATATGCAACAAATACCCGTCTAGATAGGCCAGCCGACCCTCCTTCTTTGCTGAGGAGGTGAAACCTGCTCCTGGTTTCCGGTTCAGAAGTGATTCCTGTGTTGCTCAGGGTCACGGAACTCGACTCCCACGTCGTTCCTCATCATAGGTGGGATCCCGACGTCATTGCATGTTCATGATATCGAATAAATGATAAGAGTTGACATGCTATTTTCGTTGTAAAGTACACACGCTACTTCCTTCTCTTTCTTCCTTGGTTTTTTATTAGGATGTATCTATTTTTGTTAGAGTGATTACGGAGCAACTATTGATTTTTGAAAGAGATTGCGATTCATTAGGGGAAGCCAAATTTGTAAATAGTAGGATGGAGGCAGAGTTATGTCTGGATGCATTCTTTTAAAAGTTTTTTCCCCAGCTTATTGTCACAGACAAATAGTCCCACATCGGCTAGGTGTAGGGCCGAAAAGCAGTATTTAAGTTCTGGGCTGCTCACCACCCTTAAAGGCTCTTTTGGGAGGTGACAAGTGGTATCAGAGCATATGATCCGTGACGAGGGCGTCACGTGATTGGGTGGAGGAGAATGTCACAGACAAATAGTCCCACATCGGCTAGGTGTAGGGCCGAAAAACAGTATTTAAGTCCTGGGCTACCCACCACCCTTAAGGGCTCTTTTGGGAGGTGACATTATGCTCCCTTAGATGCTTTAGAGGGTTTCCTTTATTGCAGGTGAAAATATGTTACTTTCTTGTCATTATTTAAAAATTTCATCTTTATTGTAATCTTTAAGAGATTAGGCGGGGATGATATGGATACAGTTGTTGATGTCTTGTTGAGATATCTCTAAGAACGCTTTTTGGAAATGATCTAGGTACATCCAACGATGAATGATGCTTGCTGTAGTTAGGCTTCGTAATGAGAAAAGAGATCTTTGGGAGAATGATCTGTGCTGAGATGTTGAACATGTCTATTGAAAAGCTCATCATTTGCTAAGATTTCTTTGGTGGCCCAGGCTGTTTGTATCTTGTGTTCGTTGTTATATGTATTTTTGTTAAACCTCTGAAATAATAAGCGGCTGCCTGATTTGGAGAAAATTTGATGTAAATTTTTTTTTGGAGCGAAGTAATCAACCACTTTTACTCTTTAAGGTTTATTTTACATGCATTCTATTTCTAGTGAACCAAGAAATGGCCAAATCAAATTTTTTTATTTTTGTGATAGAGATCTATGGTCAATGTAAAGTAGATTTTTTTTTTGTTTTGCTTTGAAGTTTGGTATTGCCACCGGTGATGCAAATAAATCATCTGTGAAGTGATTGTCTATATTTTCCTCTCTTTTGCCTATATCAAGACAAGTGTCGCCTCATGTCGTCGCTTTTTTAAAGCATCTTCCATGTTGTCCTATTATGTATTCTACTAACAGTAAAAACCTCTTTGTCATGCCTTCCCCAAACATTGTGGTGGTGGAAGCTCATACACATGGCTAGTTGTTTTTAAGCATTTGAAAGTCTTTGAAACTTGGTTTTACAATTGAGTTCAAATGTTTATTTAGTAGAAAGCGGATGAAATGTGTTCCTATTTTCGGAACCAACTTTCATAAATTTTAGAAGGGGAGAATGGGCATTTGCATACTTAGCACGCAATTCTTATATATTTACATATCTCATACCTAACTTTTATATTTACAAAGCACTCAAATATTTAATATTCCATCAAAAAGTAGCATTATTGCCACTTTTTAGTAGTCAAATTCACCTTTTTCATGCATAGCTCTAAAGCACCAATTGCTATATATATGTAAATAAGGAAGTTTAGGTTTGAGATATGTAAATTTCTCAATAGAGAAATGGGCTTCACTTATAAGAGCTTAGGATTAACCTGCATGTTTGTTTGTTTTTTCCATAAAATAATAATAAAGTAATATTTCATTGGAGGATGAATAGTTTAGAATCTTAATTTTATTCATGATAATGATAAAAAAATAAAATTAATGGGATGAATAAAATTCACACTCAACTGCAGTCCAAAGAGATATTGATATTGAGTTTTCTATAAGTGAGTTCATATGAATTGAGCAGATACGATAGGAACTCATTTCACTGCTTATTTTGACTTAACCTCCATCAAGTTCCTATAACATACATCCAAAACAAACTGGCTTTTGGCACAACTTTCAATTTCATTTCTACATAAATTGAAAAGCAAATTACTTCGAACACAAATGCTTATTGATATGATTTAATTTTCATTTAGTGTTCATATTTTGTTCTAATATTCTAACATAAAGTAATATCTTTGAAGGCGAGCAATTGGTTGCAGAGGAAGCAGACCGTAATCCTCCTCATAAAGTTGATGAGAACTTATGGAAAAACAGAGAGCACATTGAGGAAATCTTACATTTGCTTGATAAATCTCACCTTTCAGGATTGGTACACCTTTTAGTCTGCATTTTTTTGGCTTGAGTGGATTATCATTGCTTTGCACTTTATCTCGTTGTTTTGATTCTATTCAATTTTATTTTGAGGTTTTTAGGTTTCTTTGTTGGTTAAACTCAGTTATCCATAGTCCTTTTTTTCCTCATGGACTTAAGTTTTTAATTATGAGAATTTAGGCCTTGACACCTTTATTCCATAATTTTTTGTATAATTTCAGAAAAGAGAAAAGATCGAAGATGTTAATATTGATAAATTTGTCGAAGATGTACAAGTCCCACTGCAGAAGACTTTGAAGGAATTGGAGGAATTCCAGTCCAAAAATTCTGATTTTATATTTAACACAGGTCAGTTAACCAAAACTTTTTGGCTTTTGTGCCTTCTATTTTTATACTTCAACAAATTAATTTGACGTTATATACCTGAAATGTGTGTATTAAAAAGTATAGTATTTGGTTATGAATAGTTTACTGGATGGATTGACCCTTCAGGGTGGATTTATATTCTTAATGTATTATGTATTGTGTGTGTTGAGAAGCTGAGAAGGTTTCTTGCTCTGGAATGATTGTTTTTGGTTTAGATATGGTTTTCATTTACTAGTAGAAACTGTAATGTCTTGTGACTATCATTTGGAATAGGTAGGTATTGATTTTGTTTTAATAATCACTTGCTTACCGAGTTAAAGTGCTCAGGAGTTCGGCCTTCAAAATTGGACCAAAGACCTACTAGTTCTTTTCAGAGCAAATGCATACTTTATTGGCAACATACAAAGCTGCCTATTTTTTATTTTTGTATTTTTTTATGTTTGTTATATTTATTTTTGCCATTTTGTGGTAAAAGCCAAACTGTTTTTATTTATTTATTTTCACTCTCTTAGCTTTTTTGTAGCCAGACAGGTTTGATTTTTTTATTTGCACCGTCGCTACTGTTATAACTTTTTTTTTTTGAGACTTGAGACACAAACCTGGAGGTCCAATACAATACTAGTTGCGAGCATTTTTGCTGGTCAGATTTATCAGTGCCAGCTGAGAAATTTGTTTCACCGATTGTTAATGTTCTTTATTGTAAGCTTGTCACTGTTGTGCGGAATGTTTAGTATTTTTAAAGATGAATGGGACGCTAATGGGATGTGAGGCTATAAAACATCACACACCTTACAAATGAAGCCGTTAAGGAGCATCCAATTTTGGCGGAATAGGTACCTAAAAGGTGGAATTGGCTTATGTATTAAATAGGGGAAGTATGTCATGGATGTATAATCTTTGCATGAAAACGGAAGTACCACAGAATGCTCCTCTCTCTTGCTGGCTAGGGTTGGAAGTTTTGGATAGCGGTTTTAGTATTTAAATTCTATGTATTTTGTTGCTTTCAATTATTTTCTAGGTAGATTTGTATATAAAGACCCATTAAGAGAATGTATAAAAAAAAGCTTACCGGTCATTTCCTGTTTTCTATATGGTATTAGAACCTAGAAATGTATAAATCAAGAATGATAGTAAAAGGTTATATTCAATCAGATGAGATTGATTATTAAGAAATTTTTACTTCTATTACAAAAATGAATAATATTCACGTTCTGATATTCCTAGTAGTAAATCATGGGTAGCGTAGACAACAATATAATGTGAAAAATACTTTCCTACATGATGATATTGAAGAAGAGGTATATATGGATCACAAAGATTTGATAGCTTATTAAAAAGAATCATATATGCAAACTGAAAAAGACCTTATTTGGACTAAAACAATTACCAAGAACTTGATTTGTTAAAGCACACTTTTGATGGTAAAATCTCAATCCTTATTGTGTTCGTTGACGAATCAAGAGTAAGAAGTTCTCAAAAAATAATTTGTTGAAGAATTCAAAATTAAAGAGCTAGAAAATCAAATACTTCTTGGGAATATAAGTGACTCAGTCTAAACAAGAGATATTTCTCTCTCAATAGAAATACGTTATGGATCTGTTGAAAGAGGCTAAAATAATTAAGTGTAAGCCGTATGAAACTTCAAATAAATCAGGCAAAAAATTGGATCTTGATGAAAAAGTTGATGTAGTTATGAGAATATCAAAGGTTAGTAGGAAAATTAATCAACTTATCCCACAATTGTCCTGACCTCGCATTTTCAGCAACTCTTGTCAATCAATTTATGCACAAGTCATACTTTCAAGCCGCTTATAGAATCCTCAGATTTCTCAAATCAAGTTCAGAAAAATGGGATTTTATATAAAATACCGGATGTTTCCGTTCATTTTTCTCTTTTTTTATTTTAAAAGGAGTCGCCAGCTTGTCGATCGTCGTATACTTCCCCCATTCGAATAAATCTCCCTCCCGAACCATATGAATGATTTGAAGAGGAGAGGAATCGAATAAAAAGGGACATACGACAAAGTGACAAACAAGAGAAAAAGTAAAACGTGGAAAGTCTATGTGCGATAAACCTCGCAAGGATATATTAAGAATGTCCGCCCAAACAAGATCGGGTAGAGACACCTTAAACCAATATCCGCGAAAGAAGTATCTACATAGACTACCCATAACCAGAGAGTCAGGTGTATGTACCTGTTCTGGGGTCAAGAGCACTCCCAGAGGAACGTGTTCCTACTGGTTAATTACATCTTGGGGGATACCCAAGAATACTCTCGATAAAAGGAGTTTCGCTTCATATTATCATAGATCTGGGGTATAAGAAATCAAATGAAGGTTATTCCGTGTGGGAACAGTCCCAATGCTTTAAAGCTCACGCTAAGTAATCGAGCAGAGAGTGAGTCTCTCACATCCCGAAATAGGTAGCGGCTCATCGGCACATGGGGCCCACGAAATAACCTAAATAATCTTGACGGGGCTATCCCAATACGTCAAAGCACGTCCGGGCTAAAGGGCAGAGGACAAATCGTCGTATCCCAAATGGGCGGCAACTCATCGGCATCGGGCCGTCAAGGTGATATCAACGAGGTCAAGGAGCGACAGGGCTCAAAG